TTTGCCAGCACCAGTGAGAAAACTTCCAAGTTAACATGTCATTTCTAGTTATTTTTATCATTCTAAGAAGTGAGTCCTCTGTGAAGCAAGTGAGTCCTAATTGCCCATTCAAGACCTGGCCACACCGAAATACTTTGCATTGCAACAGGAATTGCTCATAACAATATATTGTTATTGAGAAATTCCATCCCAGCCCCTCCCCAGCTATTTGGGGGAGGATTTTGGTCAAGCTTAGAGGGATCAGGAAGTCTGAGGTGGGTGGCAGAGAAAATCATTATCCCTGAGCCTGGACACTTCCATCCTATGAGCCATTGCTCTGCTGTACTTCTGTTCAAATCCAGTACTATGATTACTAACATTAGACATTGTGCAAGGTGAAACAGAAGCTGTTTCAGAAGGCATTGCACAAGAGCATTACAACTTCATTAGGCTGTGTTTTTATTAGTATAATGTTGGATTTACCTGGATCCAACATGGGAAAGAGTGTTTCATAATTTTTGGAAGATTGTAGTCATTTCAGTAAAATCCTGATTTGAGTGAGACATTAACTAGTGGGTAGATAAATGAAAACCAGAATAAGGGAGCTAAGGATGGAAGGACTGACAAAGGCACAGAATAAGAGAGATAGATGGACTTCTTTGTCCTTGGGCTAAAGCTGATTATTCCCTGGAGTGTCTCAAGTACAGATGTTGTTGTAGGTGTGGTTTATCCAGAAAACATCTGGAGTTCTGTTTGCCAGATAGATTTTCTGCTATTCCTCATTAAGTAACACTAAGGCTTAATTTTTATATGAAATGTTTAAGTGGATTTTGATATAATATCAAGGCTGGATGAAACAGGGAGTTTCTACATAATAGCTGACTTCCATTGTATACAGTAAATATAGTAAAGACATATTCCTCTGGCATTCCCAGGTGGTGTTTTACTTCACTGTTCATTAGAAATGGCAACTAAAAAAAGGAAAGAATAGATCCTTGAACCATGGGAAGAAATTATTTCAAGATGCTTCACATGTTGCATGTTTATGATTTTTACACATACTCACTTTTCATGGAATTAATGGGCCTCAAGTGATGATTAATTGATATCAATTGCATATAAGTTTAACTGACTTAATCTAGA